CAAGAAGATGAGGCTGGCACCTCCCTAAGGAATTCACAGTGTTGTGGCTGGCTTGCTTGGGGACTAGGGTTTAATCTGGGGGGGTTTTCTTTCTGAGGTTGAAGCTAATAAACGCAACAGAACTGTATTTGCATTGTCTCTTGGAGTTCTTTGGGCTGAACCTGACACCTTCTGAGCTTCTTGCTCCACCCATTATGCAGCTGCAGGATATGCCCTCTCTTATCTGACCATTCCCTAGGCAGCATCTCTTCGTCCTGTCCCTCAAGGTCTTTCTCACATACCATTACACCAAGTCTTCTAAAGGTCATCTGCAAGTACAACCAATGCCATCTCAGTACTATATACCAGCCTGAACCCAGACTGAAAAGGGTCCAGAAAATCCACTTCATCCAGGGCCCTCTGTGACTAAGTGCCAACCACCCTCTCAACAATCTTCCCTAAAAAGGAAGTTTGGAGACTGGATGAAAGTTGTCTAACACATTGGGGTCCAAAGATGGCCTCTTGAGAAGGGGGCACACAGACAGTTCAATCCACTTCAGCTAAGAATGCCCCAGTTTTACACTGAGTGAAATAATCTCATGCTAAGCAAGGTTACACCTGATTAGTACTTGATGGAGGTCCACCAGGAAACCCCAGGCTGTAGGCTAGACTGGGAAGTCAGAAAGTATCCTGGAAGAAAGCAGAGGTAAACTGCTTCCATATGGCTGCCAAGAAAATTACCCAGGAATCAAGTTTGATTCAGTTTTGACATAGACCCAATATGGGACATATAAATAGAAGAAAAAACATTTTATTGATTTAAGACAAATAATCAGTTTTGCATATAAAAAAGATGAGGATTGTGCATAAGTGTTCTATATTTAGAATTCATACATTTTTCCAACTTGCTATTTGTTCATCAAGTTCTTACAACAACCTTATTGACCAACTGAGTCTGTGGCTGAAACACAGAATCTCTCACTTTGAAGCTCCCCTCCTCAGCTCTAGGCCTTTAACAGACATCATTTAATAGAAGATCATGATTTGCTTACCCAGCACAAGCCTGAAGGCAAGCCAGCATTGTCGCTAGTGTCTCTGGTGGAAGTTGAGCACTTTTGGGCTGGTCTTTCTCTGGAGCAAGACCGCCCAAGATAGAGGGACATCTTCTCTTCAAGAAAGTCATACAAGCTTGGATGAAGGGCTCCTAGGGAGGGGAAGGACAAATCTGTATGGGTTGTGTATAGTATAATAAATTCAAGCAGAATAATAAATGCATAGATAAGCATTGGGTAACTTAAAGCTCAACACATTTAAGTGCATACTTTTTAATATACACACATGCACATTTTAAATAAAGCAACTGTTTTCATCAGAAAACAACTTGCAAAATGAATTAAGAAAATCCTACTTACCCCATGCTCCCGAATTTTATCTGTGAGCCATTTGTCTAGTTTGAGGTATTCCCGCCGAGAGGCAAGGGCAGCAAGGTCAATAACAAAGGCAAATGGAGTACCATTCAGCAGCATAGACAACGCCTGAAGAAAAAGAAAGCTGCTAGTCCACATGGCAAGCTCAACTTCTCTTACTATGCTGCCCTCCCCACAGTGGCCATGAAGATTAATTCCTACCACATAGCATTTGTGGTGGAAATAACACAAAATGTTATTAAGAATTAGCAGGGTGAAGGTGGGGTATGTGGGGGAGAAGTGAATGGCCACGGGAAAGGTGTGCCTGTTAAGGATGGAAAGGAGCTCGGAAGCAGAAAACCATTCCTCCTCCTAATTTCAGGGCCAGGTTATCTGAGAGACCGCCGCTTTCTGATCACATCAGCCCGTCCCATTAGATTCGGCAGGGAAGGCATGCTACGCATTCCACTGGCCAGGGACTTGCATTTGGTGGGTCCCAGGAGGTGGGCCTTCTCTGCCGTGGCTCCCTTCTTGCGGAACATTCTCCCCCCTAAAGTGAGGCTCGCCCCTTCCCTGCTGTCATTTAGGAAGTCCCTCAAGACCTCATTGTGCTGTCAGGCCTGGGGGTCCTTGGGAACCAGAGACATTCTTAGATGGCTCCACTGTAATTGATATTCTGCTCTCTCTGTGGGGTTTGTATATTTTAAAATCTATTTTTAAAATGCATGATTATGTTTTTATTCTAATAATAACTTTTTATCTTTTTATAATGCCTGTTTTTATTCACTTGTTATTTTAATTGTTGTACACTGCCCAGAGTCGCTTTGTGTGAGATGGGCCGCTTTATTAATGTGATGTATGTATGTGGGGTTTGTATATTTTAAAATCTATTTTTAAAATGCATGATTATGTTTTTATTCTAATAATAACTTTTTATCTTTTTATAATGCCTGTTTTTATTCACTTGTTATTTTAATTGTTGTACACTGCCCAGAGTCGCTTTGTGTGAGATGGGCAGCTATATAAATGTGATGTATGTATGTATGTACGTATGTATGTATGAATAAATTCATTCATTCATTCATTCATTCATTCATTCATTCATTCATTCATTCATTCATTCATTCATTCATTCATTCATTCATTCATTCATTCATTCATTCATTCATTCATTCATTCATTCATTCATTCATTCATTCATTCATTCATTCATTCATTCATTCATTCATTCATTCATTCATTCATTCATTCATTCATTCATTCATTCATTCATTCATTCATTCTCCTTGGCCTGAATCTTGGTCTGAAACAATCCTCCTCTTCAGCACGATAGTTGGTGACTACATCTTTCTAGTTCATACTTACAACTACTTCACCTTCAACCAGGAGCTGCAGGTATTTTGAAACTGGATGGAGCTCCCAATAAGCATAGGAATATACTGAAAGACTTGAACAAAACCTAGTAGTTTGTAAGTACTATTTCACAAACTATTCGTTATCTGAGGACTGATGTAGCTTGTTCAATTGTCAAGCACAGCCTCAATCCATTACATTAGGGCTATCTAAACGCTCTTGTACAAACTTGGGACAGGGTTACTTGCAGGACTGTCTCTCCCCAGCTGTATTTACCCATCCTGTTAGATCTGGCAGGAGGGGCATGCTCTGGACCCAATCAACCAGGGAGGTAGGACCAGGATGAGACCTTTTCTGTTGTGGCACCTGCCCTCTGAAACATCATTCCCCTGGAGATGTTTGCATGTTTATTTCCTTTTATGTTTTTGTTACTCTTGTCCTGTGTGTGTGTGTTTTTGTATGTGTACACACACACACATACAAAAGCTACGATTAACAAATATTATCAAGTAACTAGATAACATAGAACCAAGATGCACAGAGAAAAAAGGTACAGAAAATTCAAAAATTCTACTAAAAAGTAAGTAAAGAGACAGGTACTGTACATGCACGGATTTATCATGTATATAAAATATTACCTTATTATAGTCTATTGCTATTGAGATAAACTATAAAATCCATCCAAATTTGACAGAACTGTGGTTCCTGCTCTGATGCTTCGTTATTTTAACTTTGGCTGTGAATTTTTCTAATGTAGCAGTTGAAGAGGCCTTGTTAACCCACATCTCAATTGTTACCTAGAGTCTTACAACGTTGGGCAATTATTATTTTAGCTGCTAAAATTAAATAGATAATAAGTTCCTTATTTTTAAGCTTGAGATTCAGTCCTGTAAATAAATCCAGTAAACTTAACTCTGGGGAGCATTCAATTCTTTGTTTAGTAATGGTACTTATCTCCCCAAAAAATTTACGCTAAAAGGGCATAGCATTATTGCATGACACACCACAAAAGGTCCTCTTTTTTCAACATTTAGAAGAATAATTCTGATATAGAGGTGCTCGTTTAACTGGAGTCAAGTGCCAGCGATGCATAATGTTCCACTGCGGTTCTTTTATTAAAGATGAGGTGAATCCACCTGATTTCCATAATTCCTGCCAATTTGTCTCCTGTATAGATTTACCAAGATCAGTATCCCAAGCTTCTTTTAAACGATGGGGGGGGGGGGGGGGGGGGG